TTCAGTAAAAAATCCACCGAAAAGAGTTCACGTTTGGGTTGCATCGACTGCATTTTGTTTATAATTTAGAATCTTTTATTTATTTATTAACAATATTTGCAAAAACAACTTTTCTTAGCACAAGTTACAGACTTTTTCGGACAGTTTGACGCGGATTACATCTGTTATATCTTGCAATTAAAGCTAATTAATGTTACTGAATATGATAACAACATTAAGCGACATAATACAACACACTGAACACACTAATATTATTACAATAACTTATAATAAACAAAAAAAAAAAAAACAAAACAAAGTCAGCTACGTTGACTGAAAAAAATTAAGTACAACCGAAAGTGGGATAAGGTTAATGGTTGTGCAATAATTTGCAAACCATTAAATTTATTCTATCTAGGTTTTAAAAATGCGTTTTTGTTAGATTTTGTCGCGTAAAACCAAAATATTACTCCAATCAAAAAAGAAAAAAATTATGTTTTTGCGAGTTTTTTTACCTGCTTATGCATAATTATACGCATAATAAATATATGCAGAATATAATTTTGCATTGGATAATAAACAATCGAAAGTTGAATGGATTGAGGTATGAAAGGAAAAGCTCTAGTCTATTCTGTGCACAACGAAGACGTGTAAGAAAAATTGATAAACACTTATATCTTGGCTATGATTTACACTTATATCGCATAACGATATGAGCGTATGTTTTTATGGACAGTGAACCGAGTATCTATATAGTTAAAAAGAATATTCAAGATAAAAATTGTAAACTATTGCGTTATAACAGATAAAAAAATTAAAAATGATTACCGGAATATTAGCCATATTCTAATTACATCGAAGACATACCGTCGAACGGGATAAAACCAATCACATGGGGTTACAACCGATCGCTAAAGGTTTTTTGTCTAATATTCTCAGGATTAATAGTATATGTGAATTTACCGCCAAACAAGAGTTCGTTCCTGTCCGAGGATATGCCAGGCGCAATAGTGAGCTCAAAGTAACAGGTTAAAAGTGTCGCGTGGCTGCATTGTAGACTAGTAAACAAAACATCGTATTCGGGTGTTTTTTTACAAAAATTGGAAAGATTTCCGTCTACAGAAAAAGTGATTACTATAGAACATTTCTGGTAAGTGTCATTTTGTTATGGAATTCTTAGAGAGTATTAGTCATGGCCAATTATGCGATTTTTCTTTTTGGGTTAATTTTGATATATTTTTTTCTGTAAAATCTGAAATTTGTGGGGTAAAACCGACCAACAATCCCCTGGTTATTTTATAGATGGTACCTACCTAATTCTTATGGATATGAACGTTATGGGCAGCACAGAGTGTGGCGGTGGTTTGGTGATCACTTAGCTCCTCTTCAAATTGGTGTAAGATTTTAACATATTTTTTTTTGTTTACAGACAATACCTCGCACCCATAAGAAGAAGTTAGGGCCAACAAGAAAATTACAGTACAATGAAATTTTTATGGAACGAGCATTGAAAGCTGTTGCTAGTGGGAATATGTGACATGGGAATAGTGGCAACATCTCAAGATTGGAGCGCCACCAGTTCTTTCTGAACTGGAAGAAAAAAAGCTGATTGACTGTCTACTAGTGAGCGCGGATTGGGGATATCCTCTACACAGTATTGACATTCGATATATGGTTCATCAGTTTCTTAACAGAGCAGAAAGAAGAGAAAAAAAAATTCAGAGACAATTTACCAGGACCAGATTGGTTCTTTAAATTTGTGGACCGACATAAGGATCTCACCGTCACGGACGATCCAGGAGCTGTAAAAGTCGTGGCCAGAAAAGGATCAAAACACGCTCATCGAGTGATGGACACGTCGAAAACGAGCACTAGCGTTGTTTTCAGTTGCTGGTGATGGAACACTGTTGCCACCTTATATAGTGTACAAAGCAAAGCATATGTATGAAGGATGGGCCGATGGAGGTTTTCCTGGTGCACGATATAATAGAACGATCAATGGTTGGTTTGACAGCACAACTTTTGAAGATTGGTTTCTATCGATAGCATTGCCTACTTCAGAAACTTAGAAGACCCTAAAGTAATGATAGGGGATAATTTATTCAGTCATCTTACAGTCAATGTTATCAAGCAATGTATAAATAATGGTATAAAGTTTATACTTTTACCTTCAAACTCCACAGATTTATTACAACCACTTGACGTTGCCTATTTTCGACCTTTAAAGAATGCTTGGAGGAAAGTGCTCACAATTTGGAAAATCAAAAACAGGGTTATCCTGCACAAAACTGTTTTTCCAAGACTGTTAAAAGAAACAATAGAAAAAGTGGGTCTGAAATCAACCTCAAACGCCCAAGCAGGCTTTAAAGCTTGTGGCATAGTGCCTTTAAATACAGATCAAGTGCTCAAAAAAATACAACATTTGAAAAAAGGAGAAAACGAAAATAGCGAACAGGAAGAGACTAGAGTCGGGCAAATATGGACGAATACCATTGTCGATCATTTGAGAGAACTAAGAACAGGTTCAAGTGAAAATCCAAAGAAAGGTAAAAGGATGAAGGTGGCAGCAGGAAAAAGTATTTCTAAGAAAGACCTCTAAGTTTTTCAGAGTTGGAAAATGACGAAGAAATTTCAGAGGACACACCCCGTTTCTGATGATACACATTTTCAGTTTGGAGAATTTGTTGTCGTTAAATTTGTTACGAACAAAAGAGAAGGATTTTTTGCTGCTAAAATTACAGATATTTCTGACGAGGAGGTCACACTTCAATGCTTGAGGAAAAAGTCGTCAAATAAACAAATTTGCTTTGCTTATCCAGAAATCGAGGATATCGCCATAGTTCAGAAAGAACAGATTATACAAAGAATACAAGCAATCCCTCTCAGAAGAGGAACATTTACTTTTAGGGGGATTTCCAACCTTACGTTAGAATAAGTTAGAAAGTACCAAATTACCAGTGTACCACCAAAGAACCAACGTCTTCCTTTTCTTTTTTAGAAATAAGTGTTATCTTTTATGTTTTATGTTTTCTCAATGTTTTAAACCCAAATTTGTAATTATTTTTGAAATAAAGTTCTTTAGTAAACAAATCTTGTGTTGATTTTTACAATTTATTGTATTAAAAATAGTTTAAAATTTTTTGTGTGATCGGTTTTACCCTAAAGCTTGCTTAAAAGCAACATAAACGCAATTCAACACCCGATCCGCTTTACCCCAATCTATGGGGTAAAACCGATCACCTTTTAAAAATATATGAGAAAAAAACTATTAGCTTTCTCAATTCAAAAATAATCATGAACACGTGAAAAAAACCTCAAATTTTGTTTCGGTTTTACCCCGTTCGACGGTACGTTTGGCTTAAAACCCTTAACTGGACAATGTGTATCTTAATACATACCTATTTTAGATTTTTTTTTATAAAGGTTAAACCTCCAAATCTGAGTAGATATAGCAATGTGTAATTCGATACACCCCTGTTCTTTATACAGATAACTAGACTGTTGCAATTTTTATATTTGGCGGGAATAAATTTGTCAACTATTATAGGTTAGTTCTGTAACGACCGTTTGCCGGGTTCAATTTACCAACTTTTCTCAAGATAAAGGTAGTTTTTGTGGTGACTTGTAAAGTTATTTTAATTCTGTGAATAAAATCGAAAAAGGTAAGTATTGTCCTTTAGTAATATGTCAATAGTTTCGTAATTTAAATGTTTGATAAAATGTTAGCTTCGCCTAAAAAACATGTGTATCTAAATTCACATCGCCAATAACACGAACAATAATAAATGTGAATTTGAATACACACTGCCCGTTTTAGAACATTTAAATAAGAACCATGAGTAACAGGTATCCAGGGTAGTACTCGCTGAATTGTTAATTGTATAAAATTAATTTATTTTATGATTTTTTTCAAATGTATTCCAATAAGTTTTAATAATGGGCGCTGGGTATTAGTTTCGAGTTCGTCTTTCTTTCAGATTATGACGTCCAACAGAACAAAGAGAATATTACAATTAGCAACTCAACAAATAAATGATGAGGAGTAGTAAAACTATTTCAAATCCGATATGTAGTATTTTGTATTTTGATAACTTTTTTTGTTCTTCTGATCTTGTATCCTATTTACGCGATGTTAAAGGAATATTTTCACTTGGCACTTTACGCATAAATAGAGTGAGGCATTGTCCCATTAAGAATGAAAAGTAGTACGACTCTCCAGTTCATACGTGGATGCATATCCGTTATCTTCCATTAAAAGGTTTGTTAAAACAAAATAAAACACAAAAACATACATAACGTGCCCAAACATAGTTAAAGAGTATAATCGGCATATGGGTGGAGTGGATCTCGCCGGTATGTTTGTATCCCTATATAGAACGTCACTGAAAACCCACAGATGGTATATATCAATATTTTCACAAATCTTGGATATTTGTGTAAATAACGCTTGGATTCTATATGAAAGACAAATGCTACTGCTAAACCCGGAGAAAAGAACAAAAACTTTAAAACAATTTCGTTATTCCAAAATCGACAGCTTGCTCCGTAAAAATAAAAAACGTGGAAGACCTTCAAATGAAAACATCGCTGTTCAAAAAAAAAAAGAATAATAACCATGTTTAATGATTTGATAATTTCGGACACCTTCCACAATTTTCCACAAAGGGCCGATGCCGCAATTGTGTAAATACCCAAACACATATAAAATGTACCAAATGTGACCCACGTCTTTGTTTTGTGTCAAAACGAAATTGTTTTTACGATTTTCATATGAGCAAGTAATCATTGCAATATTTTTGTTAGCAAAATAAATCAGTACAGCCCTGGGTGTTCTCTCATTTTTCCACCTAATATTAATTTAAAACACAAGTACTCAAATTGGTAATGTGTATTGTAATACACACATATTGTTTTATGGATTCTTGGTGTTGTGCATTCAGATACACACGTACAAATCAAAGTCAAAATTTGTTAAAAAAAGTTTATTGCTGAAAATGTATTAATTGATAACCCACTTCAACAAAAAATGTTGTCAGAAAAAAATTTTATTTCGCGTATTTCATGTTTTACCAAGTTAAGGGTTAAAGTCTTGATTTAATTTGTATAAATTGCATGATGACACATGTACAAGGAACCACCATATATATCAAAATTTTCATCGTATTGGAGTAAAATTTGTGGTCACGTTGTTTAAACACAATCTAACTATTTAAGAGCATTTTTAAATAACCTCTATCTATTTAGCAAATGATTTAAGCCGTTACTGTGGTTAAAACAGTTGTTGCATTAACTATTGCAGAAGTTGAAATGTCAGATGTGGGGCTCATTGTTGTATCTGTACCAACTGGAACAGCAGTCTTTGCATCCACAATCGAAGCGGCTTTGGGTTGATTTTGTAGTATTGGTCTTGACGATTCAGGTTCTCTATCCACTTGAATTTCGAATCTGACAGATCCTGCTCGGTTTAATGATGAATTACTGTATTTTATGTTTTCCGCCCAAGCTCGACATTCTATGCTAACCAGTACGTTGGCTAAAACACAATAAACCAATTAGAAACATGTTTTTTATGTCAATATATTATTAAAACAATTTAAAGAATACTTTACATATACGCAGTTCTAATATGAGCGGTTTGCACAGAAAAATATTAGCGGATGTTTGGTAATAGTGGTGCTAATAGAAAGGCAGCAAGCATTAAATATTCAAAAATATTTTTGGACCATAATAATGAAAAGACCTTCAATGTAACCAAAATTACACTGAAATGATGGCATGTCTTGAGGTAACATGTCCGAAAACACGTAGCTTCCGTTCGTATTTGCAGACGAGGACTATTCTATGAAAACACTCGTAAAATACCCGCTGATACTTTTTAAGTCTACTGCATGGATTAGTTTAGATTCGTCGATGCTTCCTTATCTGAATTCCTGTAAATTTGTTGGTCGTCTAACGTTAACGTCAGATAACTCTAACAAAAACTAACAAACTAAATTCTGCAGAACAATCTAGGAATCCTCTATGTCTAGTTCATCGATTTGAAAAAGTTACTTCCAAAAAATCGCCAAACTATCAACTAAAAAATCCCGAGAATTTAATATAGAAACATATTTCTGCTTTATTGACTTCTTCAGAGCCTTCCTGATGTAAATTAGGATAAAATGTCTCATATACTTAGGGAAATGGGTACGCCAGAATATCTAATCTATTTGTTACAAAAAACTGTATGAAAATAGTGTACCGCCAACGTAAAAGTTATTAACGTGCATTCGAAAAACTTCAAATTGAAATCGTGAGTTCAGTAGGAATGTATAATAACCCCTATTGTATTCAATATAAACAGTGAATACATTATGAGTCAAGTTTTTGAAAAATGGCAACGTACAGCAACAATATTAGGACAAAGAATCAAAAACATGCTCATGACACGGTTAAATTACCGTCTTAAATTATGAATAAATTGGACACAATGAGTAAGGAATATGGTTTGAAAATAAATATACAAAACACCAAAGTACTAATCATAGATCGAAACAGCGACAACCAAACAGATATAAGAAACACGGTAGAACATGAAGTGGTCACAAAATTTAATTACTTTGATGATATTTGAAGGCAATGGCGGGTAAAATATCTATAATAGAGTAAGATCTTCAACATTGTAGCGTTTTAAATTTTATAATACGTCCCTGTTCGTTTATCTCGTCAGTAGGCATAAAGATTGCCATAAAATCTGTGTTTGTCTTTTACGAAAATCTTAAATGCGTAAATAACGCTGGATATATTTTTTGTCTATGTGTACTTTCAAATCCCATAACCTTTTGTTACAAAGTCAGGTAGAACTCCGGTTTAAAAACTACGTGCTATTTTGTTAATTTGTATCATGTTATATCTATTTCGACAAGTTTTTGTCGCATAAAGGGAATATATTTCATGATGCCCCTTAATATAAAAAAGAGTTTTTATTTGTCTTTCGCCGTTAAAACGCAATAAACTGGAATATTTAAGAAGTTGTTTTGGTCGTTTAAAACGAGGGTCCGATTTTTTTGTTTGTTTTAAGTTTGTGAATGACGGACTAACTGCGGGGAAAAGGGGTAAAGAAAAGAATTACTTTACATAACGAAAACCTTTGTCAAATGGCTAACAGGACGTGAAGTTTCAAGACTCGACTTAGAATAGAATAGAAACATGCTTTATTGTCACTGCACATTTTACAATTTTATGGAGAAAGCTAACAAAAAGTCAGAAAATAACAATAGCAATAATTACAATTTACTAAAACTACATAAATCGTCAATATCACAAAATAAAAGATAATAAAATAAACAATCCATTTCAAAATTTAAATAAATTGTAAATTGCATAATAAGAGCTTACGAACTGATACTAGTGCGGTCCGATAAGTACTTTGCCTACAAAAGAAAAACGAAAATTTTGGAAAAGCGGAGATCTATTTCTTAACATTGTTTCCTTTAGCTCGATACACTTGACCCGGGATGCTCCAACTTCTTTAACCGATCTGCAAAATAAGTTTTATTGAGGTCTGCAAAGTAGGTTTTCGTGACGCCGATGACCTCCTCATTCTACTTAAATTTCAGCCCAGCGAGTGTCCTTTTCAAGTTTGGAAACAAAAAAGTCACACGGGGACAAATCTGAAGAATACGGTGGATGGGGCAACAGTTCGCAGCCCAATTCGACCAATTTAGCCATATCGAAAGCAGACGTATGAGTCAACAGAGAGTTATCAAGTAAAATTTTATCCTTCCGTTATTTTTACACGTAAACGTTATTTTTTACGGTATAAAGGTTTAACGGATATGTAATTTTAAAGTTATCAAATGGTCGAATTGGTGCTTCTCGTTAATAGTTGGCAGCTGTCAGACAAATGTCGTATTTGACAGCAAAATAATTAAATTTTGTTTGTTTTCTTTCACCCAAGGTATATATTTTGTCTTATTTTATATATTTTGGGTTTCAAATTATTTTTTACACAAATATGAAAGACATTTTAGAACAAGCAATATTAGTTGAAGCAAATGACGAAGTTATAGAAGATTTAATACTTAATCATATTTTAAATGATGACATACAAAACACACAACGATAACATACATTTAGTGTTCAATTTTGATAGTTTAGGGCATAGCAAGCCAAACATTTGTCATATTTTCGGTTTGAAAAACAGGACATTCCAGAGGGTTGACTTCTCGCACCTCTTTTACTAGTGAAAGGTCATCAGTGCTTGTAAAACGCAGCCTTTTTTGTCGTTTTTACTATTTCCGTGTTCATAATTGATAAATATAATAAAATATAATAAAATATTTTATTTGTCTCGCAGATGCTTAACCAAGAAAATAGAAAACATGTGTTAACTAATGCACAAAAATAAAATTACAGAACAGGAACTTCAATCTCCGAGTTCCGAGTCTTGACGAATTGGTGCGATTTGCTGCTAAGGTGTATTTTGGGAACGATTTCCGAAGTGGAAATTGAAACGTCAATAAACTTACTTTAACCTTTAATTGTTTCTTATTCCCATTTAAATAGTAATTACTTTAAAATGCTACAAAAAATAGATTCAGAACAATTTTCAAAACATCGATTTTTAAAGCCATTTTTGCAATAATTAAGAAAAAAATTAACAAAAAAAACTTTACAATCTCTCATTTTAAAGGATTTTCTATGCATTTTCAGTAAAATTGTGTCACTTTTCCACATAACACACTGGTTTTTATCTTCGGTAGGTATTATAAATCAAAAAGCGATCTGACATTGTTTACGTTTACGTAAATAAGTATTAAGACGATTAATCTTCTGCATATTTTATTTATTACATATTGTTATCACCAAATTTGTCAAAAGTAGCTGTTAGAAATCTGTATTAACGAGTGACAATGGAAAATTGTTCCCTGGTCTAACCACTAAACAATAACTTTAAAAAGTCACTCATAAGCTATATCAATGTAGTTTCTGGTATTTTAAAATCAATACTTCTTATCAAGAAAGAAGTTGAACCGTTCCTCAGTATTATTCAATGGCATTTAATTTCGATCTGATTTTAGCACCAACCCTTTTCGTAAAGGATTAAAGAATAAATCCAATACCGGTTTCGCCTGGCTCAAACTAGATTTTAATAACTTGAATTTGTTCCATAGCAAGCAATACGCCTGTAAATGTATAAATAAATTTTTGTTCCTAAGAAATACTTTTAATTATAATTTTAGTGAAGCATTTATGTATTATAAAAAATTTAAATATAAAATAAATATTAATATTATACCTATACTAAAACTGACAGTTTAAAATACAATCAACAATTGATAAATAATTTAAAATATGATACAGTCATAATTGAAGGTAATGCTTGCGGTGTATTGATGGAATCAACTGATTCCATTCCATATTGATGGAAATATATATGTATATATATATATATATATATATATATATATATATATATATATATATATATATATATATATATATATATATATATATCGAGAAAAGGAGTACGACCGTCAATCCAATATAAAATAAGGATCACTCGAAGAGTGGCGGGTTTTCCTTTCAAATACAAATTAAACTTAAAGCTTTAAGCTGCAGGCTGAATAGATTGACACATCCGGTTAATCGAAGGGAATCCCTTCAATCACTTAGAAATATTCTCATTGAGAATTCTTATCCTTCTTCTCTCATTAACAAATATCTTTTTGTACAAAGCTATGGTTCCTCTTTAAATGATATACCCAATGGTGACCAACTTAGAATAATATCAAATAATTATTTTAATGACACTGTTCTGCTTGGTACTGCACTTGGGACTCCTACCACCCACTACTCATCTTTACCTTACTTTCCTTATGTTACTGATAAACTTATTAAACTGTATAAACAGAAGAACATTCCTGTTAAAATTGCGGTTAAGAATGCCAAGACTGTCAGAAATTTGTTTTCAAAAACCAAAACACGCTTGTCCCCTCTGGAACAAGTTAATGTCATTTATCATTTACCTTGTGCTAATTGTGACTCGTGCTACATCGGTCAGACTGGGAGATCACTGAGAGGGCGTCTTACGACACACCGCAGTGATATAAACTTATCTAAGCATACTTATGCCCTTGCACAGCATGCTATTAACACTAAACACAGAGTAGATTTTAATGAAGTTAAGATTCTTGGTTCTGAACGTAATCTCATTAAAAGACGGTTTTTAGAAATGTGTCATATTAACACCCTAATACTCTTAATAAGAGAACTGACATTAGTAACTTGAGCCAAATTTATCATGCTTTAATATTGCAGAATTAGGCTTACTATGTTATTTACTTTAAAAATTGTCACCTAAGGCGTTTTCTTTACATAATTTCTCTTCAAATAATTTTCAAATAAATTAAAATAAATTAAATAATAAACTCTTCCTTTAAATTATCCTAGATTTATGCAACCTATATTATTTCATGACTGCATGCTTTTATGTCAACGTTACTTTTGTACAATTGTATTAATTGTTTCCATATAAATAGTTTAATACAA